GCGCCACTAGCTTCGCGCATCACCACTCGAGTGAATCTTTCCTGAAGTTGAACTTTGGACTGTTCTCCGAGTAGAACTGGTTGTACCATCGGCGGAACTTAAGGATTTGGCGGTCCTCTGCCACCAACAACGGCTGCGACTGGTAGACTTTGCTGTTCCAGATCATGATATCGCGCTCCAACTGAAATGGTTATATAGTGTGAGTATTTAACTGCGACTCAGTGAAAAGAATCTATGTAAGAAGTGCATGAAATATATATTTTTTCTTTCTCACTGTATGTTCTACTATTTATCGGATGTAAATACGATTATCCATCTTGTAATATTGAGTTCATATATGTATATATATATACATATATATATATATATATATATATATATATATATATATATATATATACATGTATATATATATATATATATATATATATATATATATATATATATATATATATATATATATATATACACACGCACACACACACACACACACACACACACACACATATATATATATATACATATGTGTGTGTGAGTAAGTGCGTACACATGTATGTATACTTGTGTGTGTGTGTGTGTGTATAATATCATTATTTTGCGTCCCATCATTCCACTGCAGTACAAAGGCACATATCCTCTTTGTAAGGTTGTTTGGCAGCGCCACCCCTGCCAGCCTTGCAAGAAAGCAACTGCTTGATCCATGGCGGCTAATTATCCTAGTGTACCCGCGATTGACCTCTCAAGGAAATGTCGTTTTCCCCAATATTGATTGGGTGTTACTGAGTTACCTATGTCTGCAGTGGAAGGTTAGGCTATATGATATATATATATGTGTGTGTGTGTGTGTGTGTGTGTGTGTGTGTGTGTGTGTGTGTGTGTGTGTGTGTGTGTGTGTGTGTGTGTGTGTGTATGCGTACGTGTGTGAGTGTGTGTGTGCATACACACAGTATGTGCAAGTACATATGCACGTAAGGACAGCGACTTACGTGGTAGGCTTCGCAGAGAAGGACAAACTTGGCGTATGGGGCGAAGAAGGTGCTCGAAGTGTAGAACTCGTGGACGACCTTCTGCCTGAGGGGTTCGATGGGCGTGACGGTCTGAATCAGGATGCCGGCGCCGAGTCCGGTGTCGAAATGCAAGTGCACGATGCCTGGCCCAATCTGGAAGGAACTCGGTCATGAATACCTCTCATTGTGACCTAATTTGGTTCATCGTATTCAAGGACAGCATTTCATGATGATCTACAAGTCATCCTCATGACTTAATTCGATTAGATTTGACTGAAAACTGCTCTTCGATCTAAGACTTACTTGTTCGGCCCTGACAGTCATCTTGAAAAGCTTGAACTTCCCGCCGATGAAGGAGAGTGAGTGCGTCATGACCAGCTCAGCCATGTGGGATTCTGGAGACTCACGGGCCCGCCACTCACCGTTCCACGCATGCTCAGCTAAGTCCATTACCTGTAAGTATCGGCTGTTACTCATGGCTCTTGATGCATATTCAGGGATTGTGTAACAAAAAATAGCCAGATCAGGCTAACAAAAAGAAACAAAGAAGGCCCAAGGTAAATATATAAACAAATACTACATTGAAGCAATAAGATTCATTAGGTGAAAGAATGCAACAATGGTACATATATATATATATATATATATATATATATATATATATATATATATATATATATAGAGAGAGAGAGAGAGAGAGAGAGAGAGAGAGAGAGAGAGAGAGAGAGAGAGTGAGAGAGAGAGAGAGAGAGAAAGAGAGAGAGAGATAGAGAGAGGGGGAGAGGGAGAGGGAGAGGGAGGAGAGGGCGAGGGAGAGGGAGAACGAGAGGGAGAGGGAGTGGGAAAAGGAGAGGGAGAGGGAGAGAAGGAGAAAGAGAGAGAGAAAAGCACAAGTGTTGTTTTTGTCCTCTTCGACTTTGCATCTTTTATTGTGATACTAAGCAGTTGTTTTTCTGCTAACTTTATTTTATTTCTTCTAATGCAATTCATGCTGTATTTAGCATATTTACCATACCTAAGCGTTAATAATTCCCGTTAAAGAAATGAATAACTGAAAAATCCGCCGTACACGTTTGTAACGAGGTGTTCTAAAGGAGATTTACTAATTCGTCACTGTTTTGAAATTCTCAAATGACATATACTTATCAAAATATATTTTTCAGGTTTGTCTACAGTGTTCACATATTTACGAGTATGTATCTTGAAATCTGTATAAAATCTGTATCATTATTTATCACGAAGTTGTGTCCAATCAGCGTAAAAACAATACATTTTACCACAAAGCAAATAATAAGGATATTTGGTACGATTCAAAATAGTTTTTTTTAAATCAAATATTGAATTACAGATGGGGCATTTATTCCCATTTGAGTAATACAGAAATCAATGCATTATATAATTTTTGGGACTGAAAATCTGCTCTTTGGTTTTCCCGCGAATTTTGTCAAAACGAAGAGAAATCAAAAGACTCGAGTCAGTTAACTGTTGGTGTTCACAGTGATCGGTCACGAGTGAGAAATCAGTGCTGCTTGGTGCTGTGATAATGTAATGTAATGTAACTGTGCGTGTTTGTGTGTGTGTGTGTGTGTGTGTGTTGATTTCCGAAAATTGGAAAAAAAGTGGTGATATATAACTCAATGTGGTGGTGAAAGAGAAACCTTGTGTTTTTGTAGAAGACGTGACAAAGCACGAGATCAACACTCGTGGGACGGCGCCTCGAGGGAAAATAAGGTAAACATATTTAGTTCTTTTCGCTTAGTTGACCGGGGATAGTGTGGTATATTTACCTAACAAGCAATTCTGGTTCTAGATGGTAAATCATACTAACAGCATGGTATTTTTACTGTAGTAGTGATAAAACTGCTTTTCGGTATTTATCTATTTATATCCATGTTTATACTTCATGATTGCATAAACACTTAGTAATGAAAGATATTCTAAAAATCACGTCCAATTATATTACTTTAAACGAAATCACAAGACCAGTCCACTCATAGCTAACCTGGTTGTTGGCAAAAGCGTCCCTCAAGTCGTTTCCTTTGAAAATGTTAGGCACGTGCAAGTGTCCTAGGTGGGCCATGTCTGCTCCATTCTCGGGAATCTCCTGGAGAGGCCAGAATGATGATATATTAGCCTGAATGAGACAGTTTGTCCTTAAATACGCAATAACAGCTATGCAAGTTATGACATGGAGCCGCATTATCGTTTTAGGTTAGCAATTTTACTAAAAGAACTTTACCTGAATATGTGCGAGGACTTCATGGTAGGTCCTTCCGCGGTAGGACCACTCCCCGCGGGTGATGTGACCGATTTCAGGAATGTGCCACTGCGGAAGTCGTCCCTCTGCGTCGTACCACACGTATATGCGACCATTCACTTCGCGCGACTCCCAGCGCTTTACATTAGCCGTCTTAGGCACAGCTGGAAATAAAATATTGATCTTAATTCAACATAAAAACAAAGAGAGAGAGAAAAAAAATATGTAACCTTCTCTCATCCAGTCTAGCTTACATTTATATTGTAGGCCTACCTTTACTTGAGTATGGTATGTGGGCACAGGAGCCATCAGACCCTCTGAATAGCCAGCCATGAAAGGGACACTCAAGACAGTCTCCTTTTACCACACCGCCCACTGCCATGTTAGCGCCCATGTGGGGACAGTAAGCGTCCGTTACGTGTGCTGTTCCTTCCTTGCTCCGAAACACTGCCAGCGTCTCCCCGAACACTTGCACCTGAATCACCTGGGGGGAAACAGGATTCAATTACAGGAATATCCAGAATCCTACGTGAGTCGGCGTGTGAAGTGCTGTGGCTAGAATAGGTACTTGCTTTCTGTTAATGCTATGCTATTCATAGAATTGATATCATGATCGTAAAGATAATGATCAGATTAATAAAAATACTATAAAACACCAACAATGATAATAACCAATAATATTAATTATGTTAACAAAAATAACAATAATTATAATCACCATCATCATAACATAATAATAGCAACAGTTATTAGTAGATAATGAAACACAAAATAATGGAATGATAATTCTGTCATTAATAGTAAAGCAAATTAGAGTATTATGTGAAAATTCCCTAGCTCCGTGCTTATGTAGCAATGTTAAAATGAAGGACCATGGTTTAAGAACGCTGAACATTTTTATCACTCTGAAATATACATCGTTGACCATATGCACTGATATATCACTCACGGGAGAGAGGGAGAGGGAGAGGGAGAGGGAGAGGGAGAGGGAGAGGGAGAGGGAGAGGGAGAGGGAGAGGGAGAGGGAGAGGGAGAGGGAGAGGGAGAGAGAGAGAGAGAGAGAGAGAGAGAGAGAGAGAGAGAGAGAGAGAGAGAGAGAGAGAGAGAGAGAGAGAAATATATATGCGTGTGTGTATGCATATTTATTTGTGTACAGACAGACAGAGACAGAGACAGACAGGCAGACAGTGGAAAAAAATCCACACTTCAATAAATAAGTATAAACAAAATATGAGCATATAGGTATTAGTGTAGATAGAAAGAGTGAATACATGATCGGGTAAGGGTAAAAATGGAGAGGTTCATTGGTACAGTGTTTAAATATGTGATTCGCTGACATCCACAAATGTGCGTGCTTCCTGGGGCACGTGGCATATTTGTTAAGAAAATTAATTATTAATGAGATACTTGGTGAACTGTTGCCTACAGAGCAAGAAGAAACAAAACAGAAATGAAAGCAGGTATGCTAGTGATCTTTGTTGTTTGAATGATAGATACAGTAAATCTGGTTAACTTTCCCTCATTTGCCTTTAGGGAAAAAAAGGTACCGCACAACCACCTAGCGGACGTACTTGTTCCACCTTGACCTTTCTGGACTCAGTCACAGCGAACCACCCATTGGGATAGACAGGAGGAAGTTGCCCAATCTTCCTGAGCCGCTGGATCTCCCTGATTCGCTCGGCGATGGGCCTCTTGTCATCTGCGGCTATGCAACCCCAGCCAATCTCCGTTACTCT